ATGTAAAAAATATTAGGAGTTTTTCTGTATTTGTGTGTGTGTGTGGGGTGAACGATTTTCTTCAACCTCTTTGAAGCTCAATAACTCCTAAGTTTTCTGTCGAAAATTTCTTAAATTTTGCAGGGAGGTTTATGTGTTAAAGGGATTGATGCTGTTAAATTTTGGTGGTTAAAGGTCCAGGGGTTAGAGAGATAAAGGGAGTCGTGTGTTGTATCTGCAGTAGGGTCGGACTTAATGACAATTTTACTCGTTATTATCATTTACAATTTTTTATTGAACTCATCCCTACATTCAAAATTAAGCTTATTGTCATTTTATAATAATTAAAAGTATAAAAAGTTTTTTATTTCAAGCCAAATTTCTCCTTTTATTTTTGTATCTAACGTAATTACAATTTAGATATCGAGTGTCGAACGGCAAACTTCGAACCATAAACTATAATATTGCAAACAACAATGACGTAAAGACAGAAAATTAATGGCATTTACTGTTTAATTAAATTCTCTAAACTTACTTCATGACAGCTCTTCATAGGATGCTTTATCCCGATAACATGTTTGGCATTTAGAATTATTGTTGTTCATTTTAGGATATTTAAAATGTTAAATTTGAAATATACTCTGTAATAAATATCGGAATAAGTATCGGAAGATGAATATTTAATTACATTTCTTTTTTTTTTAATTTAAAAATTAACTACTAATTACACAATTAACTATAACAAAATTATATAATTACATTGGTAAATCGAAATATTTAATGATTTATTTTTAATGTAAAATTGCTATCTAAATAACCTTAATAATCCTCTTATTAAATACGAATTTTATTTAGAATTAACGTTATATTATTTAAAGAATTGTTATTAGTTATTCCCTTGTTCATTAACGATTATTTATTCATGTTTTCGTTCATTTATTTATTAACTTCAGATAGATATCTACGTATGGGGTATTGTATATTTATTAATTTTTTATATAAATGTATATTTTACACGCTGGTATGCATTAGAAATCTGGCATAAACAATGCCATAAAAAAACTCTACATAAATACATGTATAGTCCGTTCCACAACAATCTTTATGTATTATAATATTAAAAAAAACGTGTTTAAAAATTTATATATCACTGCTATAATTTGCTGTTATGCAGCAGCAGCAGCAGCAGCTATAATAAATTAACCCATTTTAAAAATCGTAAACGTCGTTTTATCATTGTATAAGTATTGTAGATGTAATATTTATAGACCTAATTACTGCATTTCTTTGTTTAATTAGCTATTTATAACCTTTTAATAATCTACAAAAGTGCATAGATTAGTCGTTTCGTTGATTANTAATTCATGCATAAATTATCAAAGAATTAATCACGTTGTTTAACAATTAATTAACGTATTAAAAGAGGGGAGAAAAGTAAAAATAATTTTAATTATATTTTTAAATTATTTTTATTTCATTTTCTACTCTGCAAAGCAGCGCTACCTTTCATATGCCCTAGTCACGTGGTGGCGGTCACGTGACAAGCGCTCCTTATCCAGCGCCACAGCTTCGACCTCACCGCATTTGTGCAGTCGGTATTCCTTCAGTCACTCGTGCTGCCACAAACGGCAACCGATCGAACTACTCGTTAATCTACAAAATATTTTGGTTACACGACAATAGTCCAAAAATCAAGTCCTGTCGACACCTCTAAGGATTTTTTAAATAGGAATTATCCTACCGTACGTGTGGTTGTGAGCGCTCGCCAGTCCTGCTGATAAGCGGACCAGGCGGCGCCGGGGCAATGGTTTTATACTTAAAGATGAGAGCATCATCTTCAATCATCATCTCTACAAATATAGTGGACAAGTGAAGAGAGATAGAGAGAGAGAGAGAAATAGAGAAAGAGAGATCCATTTTGTTTATTTATTTATTTATATTCATATAAATATATATATATATATTTTTTTTTCTCACTTAAATTTCGTTAATTATTATTAATTTTTGCACGAAGTTTTAAATGCTAAGCTCTTAAGAAGTCGTACAANGTCCTGCTGATAAGCGGACCAGGCGGCGCCGGGGCAATGGTTTTATACTTAAAGATGAGAGCATCATCTTCAATCATCATCTCTACAAATATAGTGGACAAGTGAAGAGAGATAGAGAGAGAGAGAGAAATAGAGAAAGAGAGATCCATTTTGTTTATTTATTTATTTATATTCATATAAATATATATATATATATTTTTCAAGTTTTTTCCATTAACTTGTGATTCAAGCCTTATATATCGAGGACCTATACCCCCGTCCAAGGTTTATATAAAAGTGTGGCATGAAGTGTTTTGGTCTAAAGTGGTCCCCGAAGACGGACCGTCCTACTACACTTGGCATTTGGATCATCTTAACTCTATTACTGTATACCTGCACGTTAGGAGATGGAGATAGATTATACGGTAAGATATATATATATTTTTTTTTCTCACTTAAATTTCGTTAATTATTATTAATTTTTGCACGAAGTTTTAAATGCTAAGCTCTTAAGAAGTCGTACAAAACACACACGCGCGCACACACATACACACATTTCTTTACTTGCATGCTGATAAATATTGTAGAGCATTTCAATCTATAGAATAGATGGATAAGTTGTATAGATATCAAGAGTAGAAATTCGGTAAAGAAAATTTATAACAGTGAAGAAATTGTTTATCAGGCGCCTATGGGTCCAGTCCATACATATTGTGTGAGGCTACGTTATGACAATACAACGTCCAGCTTTCAAACAAATGAAAAATCAATGGAAATTTTTCTCCATCCTTGTTTTCCGTTTTCTTCAATAAACCATCTGTTTTTCTTCTGTGTGTCCGGAAAGAGGTGTGTTTCTGCACATATTTCAGTGCTAAACATTTTCATATTGTTCTAAATCGCGTGTTTATACCCGCACGCTTTTCCGCGTATATTCTAGTGTATACAGTATACTAGAATATATTGAATTACTATAAGTCTAACTCGTTTAAACGAATAAAAAAATCACGTGTTTTAATCTAATTATCATTAAATTAATATATATATATATATATATTTAAGTCTTTTTTATCCGCCAAAAATCATTTTTTTCTTACCTCTTTATTCTTCTTTAGCAAATAGGAAAATTCTTCTTTCTTTTAAATCTCCTTTTATTTAACGAGAAGAAGGGTTTCCCCCTTTTTTTAAACATTCGGCATTAAAATTAATTCTAAAAATAAACACAGAATTAAAATTTCAAACGGGAAGAGGTAAAAAAAAGGGGGTCTTTCGGGTGACACCACAGAGAAAACAACAAAGATAATTTATGAGATAATTAGAAAAAATATATTTTAAGCCTTATGTATATATACACACACATACACACACAGAGAGATAAAAAACAAACTATTTAAATAGATGAATAATTTAACATTTCGATTAGATACAGTAAAGTGAATCAAGTTAACGAAACCCCCTTCTGATTTCCATTCAATCAATTCTAATTCTTGTAACTAGTTACTTTTAGAAAAGTTATTCAACTTGTATGGAAAAAATTAAACATAGAAACAAGTTTTCCCACTCCCCATGCAACTTAGTAATGTTTTGCACTTGAGTGATTCGAGACATGATGCAAACTTTCTGCTGTTTCTCTACGCTTCATTGGCCATTGTCACTCTTAATGAAGGCGCGGTTACAAAGCTAAGTTGACTCCTAATTAAATTTCTTGTACATTCGTTTCCCCCTTCTCTTAACATTGGTCTTCTCCCACTTCATTTCTAACAACAGTAGACAATGGTACGACCCAGATGGTACCCGTCCTTTTTTTTTATTTGTTTGTTTTTTCCTTAAATTTATATATAAATATATTGTTTAAAGTTGTTTATAAAGAAATTTTATCAAAGATTTTTATTAAATTAATTATATTTTATGTTAACTAATTATATATATATATAAAAGAAAACATTTCTTATCTCTCTTATGTTTCTTTAACTCGAACATTAATTTCACTTATCAAAAATATCTTAAACATAAAAGAATAAAAATCTTGTTAAATTTTATCCTTAAAAAAATTTAAAAAAAAGAAAAACAAATAGAAAAAAAAAAATTATTCTGTAAATTTTCTTGAAGTTGTTTTATTTAAACTGCGACTTCATCCATCATTTTCGGTTTGATGCTTATTCAGATACAGCCTCTTTAACTTATAGAATCTTAAAATTGTTTTAATATTCTATTATTTATTTTTAAAAAAATACGATTAATAAATATTGTCACTTATATAAAAAATTTTTTTAAAAATTTATACTTAGAAAATTTAATTTTTATTCCGTTTAAACATTCGAATATATACGAATGGCGTATTCAATAAATTTTAATTAATTAAATTAAAATTAATAGAAGGATTATCATTAATTTTATTAAAGATAATGTGATGAAAGTTTTGAAAATTTATAATACTTAATATTTTAATTTGTCTTTCTCTTTGTATATTTTGATTTCGAATATTTTATAAAAATTCTAATTGATTCTTTTAGATGAATGTATCGATCACACTTTAGGATGAATGCATTATTATAAAGTATAAAGATTAATTTTTAAACCTTCCTTTAAACTTAATAATAATAATAATAATAGCATCATTTAAGCGAAAGAAATTGAAAAAAATAAATTTAAAAAAATTAAAATAATGGGAAAGAAATCATAACTCACAGTTATAACTAACAAGGAAGAATAATAAAGAAAAAAATAAAAAAAAATATATATAGGCTATATATTTTAATAATTCATGCATAAATTATCAAAGAATTAATCACGTTGTTTAACAATTAATTAACGTATTAAAAGAGGGGAGAAAAGTAAAAATAATTTTAATTATATTTTTAAATTATTTTTATTTCATTTTCTACTCTGCAAAGCAGCGCTACCTTTCATATGCCCTAGTCACGTGGTGGCGGTCACGTGACAAGCGCTCCTTATCCAGCGCCACAGCTTCGACCTCACCGCATTTGTGCAGTCGGTATTCCTTCAGTCACTCGTGCTGCCACAAACGGCAACCGATCGAACTACTCGTTAATCTACAAAATATTTTGGTTACACGACAATAGTCCAAAAATCAAGTCCTGTCGACACCTCTAAGGATTTTTTAAATAGGAATTATCCTACCGTACGTGTGGTTGTGAGCGCTCGCCAGTCCTGCTGATAAGCGGACCAGGCGGCGCCGGGGCAATGGTTTTATACTTAAAGATGAGAGCATCATCTTCAATCATCATCTCTACAAATATAGTGGACAAGTGAAGAGAGATAGAGAGAGAGAGAGAAATAGAGAAAGAGAGATCCATTTTGTTTATTTATTTATTTATATTCATATAAATATATATATATATATTTTTCAAGTTTTTTCCATTAACTTGTGATTCAAGCCTTATATATCGAGGACCTATACCCCCGTCCAAGGTTTATATAAAAGTGTGGCATGAAGTGTTTTGGTCTAAAGTGGTCCCCGAAGACGGACCGTCCTACTACACTTGGCATTTGGATCATCTTAACTCTATTACTGTATACCTGCACGTTAGGAGATGGAGATAGATTATACGGTAAGATATATATATATTTTTTTTTCTCACTTAAATTTCGTTAATTATTATTAATTTTTGCACGAAGTTTTAAATGCTAAGCTCTTAAGAAGTCGTACAAAACACACACGCGCGCACACACATACACACATTTCTTTACTTGCATGCTGATAAATATTGTAGAGCATTTCAATCTATAGAATAGATGGATAAGTTGTATAGATATCAAGAGTAGAAATTCGGTAAAGAAAATTTATAACAGTGAAGAAATTGTTTATCAGGCGCCTATGGGTCCAGTCCATACATATTGTGTGAGGCTACGTTATGACAATACAACGTCCAGCTTTCAAACAAATGAAAAATCAATGGAAATTTTTCTCCATCCTTGTTTTCCGTTTTCTTCAATAAACCATCTGTTTTTCTTCTGTGTGTCCGGAAAGAGGTGTGTTTCTGCACATATTTCAGTGCTAAACATTTTCATATTGTTCTAAATCGCGTGTTTATACCCGCACGCTTTTCCGCGTATATTCTAGTGTATACAGTATACTAGAATATATTGAATTACTATAAGTCTAACTCGTTTAAACGAATAAAAAAATCACGTGTTTTAATCTAATTATCATTAAATTAATATATATATATATATATATTTAAGTCTTTTAAACTTTTAATATTATCAGATCTTATTCTAGACCCCAAGAGATTAAAAGAAGTTTGAAAGTTTTTTTTTATAGATGAAACTCCCAGTTAGTAGTTTTGGGGTTTCACCCAACTAGTCTCTTGCAAGATCTGTCTTTCTTGATTGATAGACAGATTTGGGTCGAGCACACTTCGATCCATTAGAGTCCAGTCTTTCCTCTTCTCTCTTTCTCTCTCTCTCTCTCCCCGTCCACAACGAGAAAAATAGGAGTAGGCATCTAGAAAGCATTTTGCAGCGAGAACGACAGTTATATCGCTATTTAGTTATCACGCTTCATTATAAGGTCCCCGAGTATGATGCTTCTCGGCACGACCCACAATTAGCGAACTGAAAGAAGAACACCAACAGCTTTATCGCTTAATGAAGAGCTAAAGAAAACACAATTAAGCATTTCATTTCGCGGTTTGGAAATAACTTTCGCTTAATATCGCCAATCAATAGAAACGATCCTTAGTCCGTCTGCTGTAACCATCATTCACACATCATCAGCCAAATGAGAGAAGAAGAGAAAAAGAAAAAAGAAAAAGAAAAAAAAAAGAAAAAAAGAGTGCATCCTAATCGAGTGGTTGTGTAACGGGAGACTAAAATTCGATAAATACCTCTGTCATTAGCGCTGTTTGTATTGACAGATGTTTTGTCGCAGATAAGCAAGGTTTGTGTCGAGTTATCTGTTCGCTAGCCAGAAGCTGCCACGAAAATTATTAAATAAAATTGCGCATTGATAACCGGATGAAATGGTATAGAGCCTTATCGTCGGGTAGGAAGTAAATATTACTCTCAGGCTCTTCTCTCGTCGGGATGTACGGATAGATAACTGTCCCACCTGCTGTTTAATCGACCGTAACCAGTAATTAAATGTAGTTTAAGTGGATCGAGCCTGCGCCTGAATTTAATGTCGAGTTCGCCTTTTTAATATATTCAAGAATAAGTAAAAGATATTTTCAATACAACTCAAATCCTGTCTCCGTCAAAATCGCACTTAAAATGAGTAAAAATCCGAATTCTCGCAGCCTGTAGAATTAATCTTGCTTAAACATTATCCTACAAGAAAGCTTACAACTTATCAAAAATAAATTAAATACAGTTCAAATCGATTAAATCCAAATCTTTAGCGGGCTAAGAAGACTGATCGTCGTTTTTAAGCCGATGTACCACCACTTATTTTTTTTTTAACAATTTTTTACGGATTTAAAACGGAATCAAATCTTAATGTTACTTATAATGGCGCGTAACATTTATAAGCTTATAATGAGAATAATACGGAATTTCTTTAAAATTTAAGCTATAACGCGCTTTAAATTGGAATTTAAGCTTTTATTCGTGGCCAACCGATCGAGCCTATAAAAGAAAACGGACAGAAAAAAAGGAGGAGAAAAAGAGAATCGCGTTAGAAAATGAAAACTTTTTTTAATAACCGGGGAAAAAAAAGGAGAAATTAAAATTTTAATCTGGAGCACGAAAGTGGGAAGTAGAAATAGTGAGATATTCTGTCGGGCAGATCTTTTTTTAGTAGACGGGCGAGGTGTTGGAGTATATCAAAAATTCAGTGGAACAGAAAGTAGTGCAGATATTATGGAGGATTTCCCACAGCGACAAAATGTAAATGTGCAGGATGGAATGGACAACTTAATTGAATCCCCACTTGTCCGCAGCACGTGGGTAATCCGAGCCATGTCCCCCATTGTTGTCCATGGAAGTCAATGCGACAGAAGGATTATATGATCAAGCAGCAGGGTAGAGGCCTATCTTCTGTCGCCAGACCCGCCCTATCGCCGATTCCGTCAAATCTTGTGGGGATATGGATTATTGCACAGCACCGTATCTTCACTCCTCTAACTCTCCGGAATTATTGGAAAAGTTACGTCCAGTATTTTGTTTTCGGTCGACGACAGACAAGCTACACTCTTAATTAAAGAGATGAACGTTCGAACGGGATTAATTTTCCATTTATCGACAGTTAGCACCGACTTCTTACTTTTCTTTCTCTTCCACTTCTTACTGTTCGATGCTGTAAAGTATTTTTGTTTCTTCCTATAACACCGTATATTACTTTATTAACTAGCAACACCCGTACATCTCTAGTGTCCTTATTGTTTTCCGAACGAATAAATCTAACTATTAGAAGCTAATTTAATTTGAAATAAAGCCATATTTTACTGTCACGAATGGACCGTAGCTTAATACTACATAAAATTTTTTACAGATAAAATACACCGTAAATAATTTTATAGACGAAACTTATAGTAAAGGAGAAGTAACGTTCTTGCAATCGTAACTAATTNCAAATAATAAATATATTATTTATAAAAAAAATTATTCTTTTATAAACAACATTACAACTTTTTTATATAATAAAGACTAAAAAAAATAAAGAAAATAAATTGAGTTATATTTATTTATTTCACAAATAATATTAATATATATCTTTATGTTTAGATTTGTTAAATCAAAAGCTTTCTAAGGAATGAAAAGTTTTATGTTTAAATATTTATTTGATTAAAATAAAGAAACATCTTTTTCTTTTTTATTAAAGTTAAAGAATAATATTTAATAAATATACCTTACAGTTAAAAAAAAACATATGTAGATATTAAATTAAATTTTTACAGTTGCTATTCTTGATTATGATAAATGTTTAGTTATTAAATATAAAGATATCTGGAAAATTGCAATTTTTCTTTATATAAATAACACAATTATCTGTATTACAAGCGAGAGAAAGAAAAAAAAATCAAACAACGAGTTGCTTAACTTTCCCGGCAATTTTAAAACTGCATTTAGAGTCATCTGTTATGATATTTTATTAAAAACAATTTTTTATATTTTTGATTATTATAAAATGACAAAAATCTTAATTTTGAGGAAATTGTAAATGCTGATAACGAGTAAAATCGTCATTAAGTCCGACCCTATTGGAAATACACACGACATCCTTTATCTCTTCACTCCGTCGATCTTCAACCACCAAAATTTAATGGCATCAATCCTCCTAATACACAAACCTTCCTGAAAAATTTCAGAAATTTTCCACAGAAAGCACAGGAGTTATTAAGCTCTAAACAAAGTGAACAAAATCATGCACCCCCCCACACACATATACACATTAACATCCATAAATATTGAAAAAAACACCCGAATTTGTTTGCATTTCTCGACGTTTCATGGTCTCTTGAATCCAAAAATGTAAAAATCTCGGGGAAATGGTCACTTTTTGAACAAAAACAAAAAAAATTTCGAAAAAAATTAATACTTTTTACATTAAAATACATCATCAATTCCCCTTTTATACGATATTACACTACTCATATTTAAAAAAAAAAGAAAATGAATCATTTTTAATAAATAAAAACGTTATAGATAAATTTAACGAAAATTAATTTTAGGAATTCTTTATTAATATATTAATATCTCATTTATGTAAGCTTCCGAATTACGTTAATTTCTATCCATTAAGTGCTTGTTAAATAGAAAGTTATCATACAGTTAAATAGGAAACGATTAAAAATGAATGTGGAAGAGGGGAGGATAGAAAAATGAATGAATGTTATTAAGCAAAATGTAGGATATTTAAATATATTTTTATAAAAATTAAAAAGAAAGAAAAGACAAAAAAAAAAACAGAAAGAGAAAAATTAACTCGTCCTTGACTTCAACACACTTAACCACATTAAAATTCAGTTGGTACATTGAAAACAATTCAAAAGCCATTTGCGAAATGTAAATCTCAAAACCAGAAGCATAAACCTTTGCGATCTCAGTAGAAAACTTAAACATCAATCTTATAGGATGTTTCTCTCGTTAGAAAGGAAGTTTTCTTTCATACAAAGATTCTTTGGCTGTTACCACGATAGGAATTTGCGTGCGTGTAATAGTGATATACATTCTATTCCGTGACCCGTTTCCTTCCTATCCAACCCCCCCTTAAAACATTAATTAAGTACGTGAGGGATCTTATGCTTTCACTTTCTATTTTAGTTTTAAGTATGGAAACAATGCAAACCTCTGTTTGCAATTGCCAAAAGTCATCTCCTTAACAGACATTAACCTATATTTATCAGTTAATGGAAATAAACATATTTTCAAACAGCGTAACAGAATCTGTGTTGTAAAATATATCCTTAATAATTTATATCATTTTTTTATTATATATTTGTTTAAAAAATCCAATTAATGATTTAATTACTTATTTAAATAATTGGTTTCGTTTAAATACGTTGAAAAAAAAGAAAATGATAATAATTGGATCGTGACTTCATGATCTTTAAGTGATTAAATACACTTTTGTAGTGTCAAGCAATGATAAAGACTTTTGACGTTTTTA